ATAGATTGATTACATCGTACCGTTAAATATTTTTCATTTACTAAGGATTCACAATACTACTTTGTGATACATAATGCAACTGTTTCCTGAATGATCGACCGGAAAAGTTATCTCTTATTTACAAGTTTCAGTTTTAACGGATTTCTCTTGCTAATCTGATTGACTTCTGAAATTGATCAAAAATGACGACAATGGTTCTAAGGAGGCAAATAGTAAGAGGGGAAGCCAATTAACTGATCCCTTCCCTTCCATCAAACAAAACTTTCGGGTACGTACGTAGAGTTGTACTCAGATCAATCTCTGTTAGCTTCACCATCCTCCAAGAGCAAGAGAGATCCCCCACTTTCTCTTTCGTGGAGATCCCTCTCGATCTTTCCCTTCCACCATTGAGGTCGGATTCAATAAGAAGCTCCACCATGCATATTTGGTGGTGGAAAGACACTTAAACCCTAATCCATAAACCCTAATTAAATCCAATCTAATTCCTGTCAAATTGATATAAAAGCATCTTTTGGGACCTTTGGCGGCTAAGAAGGTTGATGCGTTGGAGGTAGGGCTGCAAGCGAACCAAACGTTCAACGAGCTACTCGTTGTTCGGTTCTTAAAGCTCGTTTGTGATCGTTTAATTAACTAAACAAACAAACTTGAACAATATTTTAAATGCTCTATTCTTAAATAAACAAATTTGAACACTAATGCGTTCGGCTCATTTATGTTCGCGAACAACATCATTTGAAGTTCGTGAACAAGCTCGACATTAAGCTCGATAAAAGCTCAATTCGTGTTCGATTTTGAACTCCTGAATAAACTCAATAAAAATAATTAATATTTGACTATAGAATTAATAAATATAAATAATCATTACCTTAGTTACATAGACAATTGCTTTTATTATAAATGTGTTTGTTCATAGATATATTCATGAACGTGTTTGTTTGATAGTTAAAAAAAAATTCGTTAAATATGTTCGCGAACAAGATTGATAAGCACTAAACGAACGAACATGAATTGAACATGAACCGAACATGAACACTCATTAATTTAATTGAACCAAACATGAACACAAACATGAACCAAACTTGAACAAGTTGATATTAAATGAACACAAACATGAACACTCACTGGTTAGAATTAAAAAAAAAATTATTTATGCCCCCTCTATAAAAACTTATTGGCTCCGCCACTATAGAAAGATGCAAAGAACTGAAAAACTCACCGTAAAGTCGCATGAGATCTTACCAGAGAAGACCAAATTGTAAGTATGCGTAATTTTTTTTATCAACAAATTCAGGAAATAAAACTGCTTATTGATCTATTCTGTAGGTATAAATGGCTTAAGAAAAACTCTTTATGATATTTTTCTTGATATGTTTGATAATCTATTCCCTAGGTTTTTTTTGTTTTTTTGTTTTCTATTCCGTAGGTTATATTACATCTGTAGGGTTAATATATATATATTAATTTAAAGTCCTTTTCTTGATAAACAAAAATTTACAATAAATGTTAGGTTTCCATTTGCGACAAATTTTTTTGCTATTTTCTGTAGCTGTTTTTAATAAAAATATTTTTTAGTTAAAAAAAAATTTAACTAAAAAAATATTTTAGAAAACAATAAAAAAGTTATTCTAAATGAAGCCTTAATTAAATTCCCCATTACATAAACTAAATTATATCTGATTAGTTGAGTTTATGTTGATTAATTAATATCATAATATGATTCATTATGCTTACGCATTTTAGTGCTTCATATTTTTACCTTGTCTTTATTTTAATAGATTATTAATTATGTTTAAGCTTATCTTTTATTATGACTTAAGCCGCATTTCATTTATTTTCTTGTGATTTTATTGTATACACGTTTTAATCATTCCAAAATTTTGATCTCAAATCTCTTATAATTATTATTATATTTATAAAATTCACAATGGGCTAACGTGTTAAATCAATAAAAGAATTATAAGTCATTAGAGGAATTCACTACTCACTATGCTTAAAGAGCTACAATCAAAATAGAAAAAAAAATCTAAGGAGCCATGGATCCCTAATACAATAATAAAACTCAAAAAAAGTGGAAAGCCAATACCTAAAAAAGCCGCCCAGCAGACAAGATTAGTACAATTTTCACTTAGATATCAACATAATATCTAAAAACAATTTAAAAAAAAACAAAATATTGCAAAAAAAAAAAGACACCTACAAAATGGATAATGTTAGAAACTCCAAGGAAAGAAAAAATAGAGAAGACCATAGAAGACAGCACTAGCAGAAGATACCACAGTAGAAAATAAATGAAAATATCTGAATGAGCAACAAGGACCTGCAAAAAAAAGAACCAACCAAAAAATCCTAGGCAAGAAAAGAAAGCCCAACCCAAAACAGGAGATCAAATAAGGAGGCCCAGCAGGAAGAAAAGAACCACACAAATTATAACTAACACTCGAGGAAAGTAGACATACAACAGACCCACTGTAAAAACCAAAAACAAAGAAATAAACCCAACCCCAACAAGAGGAACAAAGAGGCAAAGAGACAAAAAATAACAGTAGATTTATCAACCAACAAAACACCCAAAACGAAATGATCTATAGAACAAAGCTGCATTAAAAAAAAAATCAAAGTAGAGATATCACCATAGATAAAAATAGTAGATGCATCCTAACATGAACAAAAAGAGCAGAAAAAACCAAGGCACATGCAAGGAAGGAACTAGAAACAACCACCACACCAACTAACTAGTAAAGTAAGGTAACAATTGTCATATTGAATCTATAAACCTATTGAAAAGTGCTTATGATTTTTTTTGGAAAAACCATACGTTTGAATGCATTGAAGTGTATGTCTGTAGAACCTTATTGGATATTGCTAGCTAGGCCAACAAGCCCTCAGAGAGATGACATTATAGGAAATCACTAGATTTTCTTGGGTTGATGTTTACATTCTCAGTGTTGGATATATGATAAATTGACTATAACTATATGCATATGAATGTGCATACATATAATTGGATATGTATTGAAATTAAAGAATGATTGATAAGACATATTGAGCTATGATATATATATATATATATATATAGAGAGAGAGAGAGAGAGAGAGAGAGAGAGAGCTATGATGATACCTAGGCATTAATAGTAGTTTGACATATACTTACATCATTGGCATGCTAGAGTCCGTTGTAGGAAACATGGCATGTGTCATTGCAACTTTAATATAGTGATTATAGGTTGCAACACTCATCTTTTGGTTATTCATATTGCATGACCCATTTGTTTATCATTTATGTTTTGATAGATTTGAGTTATTTGTTGAGTTTGATTTATCAAACTCACCCGTTATCTCTTTCCTCAGCAAGTCCTACAGGCGTATTTAGCGGACCATTATCTCAGGAGCAAAGTTATCAGCAATAGATAATATTTTGGTATTTTATATTTGTAGTATATTATTATATATTTATTTTCTGGGGTAGGTAGTTTCTTTCATGTTATTTATTTTATTTAAATTTCCTTTGTTTGTATCAATACTATGGCTATGGGTGTTCTTCTATTTGAATTTATATTAATGAAATGAATATTTAATTTTTTTCCATTATTTACTCTGATATAATTGGTTATATTATTAGTTTATGCCCTCTTATCTTTTGTGAGTATAAGACATATTTTTCTATCATTTAGTATGCCTCGTATTATCGTGATGTACCGCCTTTCGAATTAGGGGTATGACACTATGAACATCCCTCATAAATCTTGTGAAGATCATCAGAGGATCTCTAAGAAAATTTCTCATGGATTTCGTGAATCCTGTAAAGATCCTTGTGAAGATTCGACGAGGATGAAGATCTTGTGAGGATCCCATGAGGGTTTTGTCTCCTATGATGTGTCACCCTAGTCTCAGCAACGATTGGACCAATACCTCACATGTTTTTGATTTCTCTAAGAACATCTAATTCTAACGATGATGATAACGATAAGTTGTTAAATCTTGATTTGAATCTATCGGGCTCTTCTTATATTATAAAAACTCTCAATATTTGTTATTGTAGCTTCATGAGTTTGTGAAGAATGTCAAAATTAATAAAATTATTATATCATCATTTTAAAATTATAACAAATGCTTACTATTTTTTAAAAAATTAATAATTTTTATTATTATAATGTATCCTTGTTATAAAAGACATTCATTTTATTGTATTCTTTTATTACACTATTCTCTTACATATTTGTATTGGTCTTAGGACTATTCAAATAAAAAAAAGAAAAAATAAAAAAATAAAGCCTTTCACGTTTACTGCAAGAAATCAGTAGTTGTTCTCTGTTTCACTATGTGACGTTGTTTCATAGTCTTTGGCATGTCAATAAGAAAAGATTACTACGTGCTGAGGCCGGACCAAAATTACGTCCGATTTTTATGAGTGTGCACAAAAAAATAAAGCCTTTCACGTTTACTGCAAGAAATCAGTAGTTGTTCTCTGTTTCACTATGTGACGTTGTTTCATAGTCTTTGGCATGTCAATAAGAAAAGATTATTACGTGCTGAGGCCGGACGAAAATTAGGTCCGGTTTTTATGTGTGCACAATGATGAACAATAACTGTATTTTAACCACGCACACTTACAAAATTTAGACAATTCTCCAGCTAAAACTTCGCACACAATAATCTCTCGTCAATAAGATGTTCTATTTGAAAGTTCAGGACATCAAGTGCTGAATATTAATATTTTTTTATAGTCTATGCGCATTATGTATCTAGCTTGCATATAAAAAAATATTATACTGTGAAAGACTTGTATAAAAACTCATGTAATACCAGGACATAATTAGGCATAATAATAAAAGTTCTTTAAAAAAAAAAAAAGAAAAATTTAATTGTCGAGAGCAATATCAAGTTCAACTCGCCATCAAATTTGAAAATGGCATAACATTAAGATTTGAAAAAAAAAAAATTAATGTCTACTAGTTCTTCTACTTTCAAAAGGCAAGCCATCAAATCCACAAAAGTAACAATAAAACCGAACAAAGATAATAAGAGCATTCACACGATTAATCTGGCTCTATAGTCTAGAGGCAAAATTAATCCAGCTCCTCTCAATATCATTTAAATTTAGAGTCTGCTTAATGACAACAGAAACAATTTCAGTTGTTTACAAGCCCATCCCAATGCTGAAAGGGCCACGTGAAAAGAACACCAAGCTACAAACTAATGATCAAGCAACACAAATTCATCTCAAACTTCTGCTCACAAATTCATAGAGGAGCGCCTTGTCATAACAGAAATTATGGTTTCGTTTGAGACGGCCTTTTTACTGCTTCTTAAAACAACTTTTTAGTACAAAAATTTTAATTTTTTTATTAAAAAGCTGCTTTAAGAAGTAAGAAGAAAGTCATCCCAAATGAAGCTGGACAATTTATCAAAACTTGCTAATGTGAGATTGATGATCGCACCTTTTAGACTTCAGGATAATTCATCTGAGAAGTTAACAGCCAAATCCCAATAGTGAGGAACGCCAGCATCAGCAAACACTTTCCTGGCAGCAGCCTCACTTCTGCACTGGTGCACAAGGAATCGATTAAAGCTTGGCTTAGCAGTACTGCCCTGCCATACTAGAACACACTTATTAAGACGAATGTCCTTGTCCTCATCTCCATTTTCATCATCACCGACAGCAGCAGCCCAGTTAATTCGTTTAAGCATCAGCTTACCATACCTTTTAATGGACTTCCGGACGCCTTCAACAACCACGACACTTATGCCATCCGATATTACGGAACATCCAGTGAGGCGGTTCTCTTGAGCATTCACATCCACCTTAAAGCGCGTTTGAGGATGAGAAAGGTCATCGATTCTGTAGACTGAAACAAGAGTCTCAAGCATTGAGGGGTCCTCAAAGAGCTTCCTCTCTTTCTTCTCACGGCGCTCTTGTGGAGTAAGCTTGCGGGCAATATTTCTATCGATATGAGCTTGCTCGCGCTCAAGTGCAGCAGCTTTGACTTCCTTTTCCATTTTGGTGGGATCCTGAGTGGCCTCAGAGGAAAGGACTCTCATAAGGTTGCTCATCTTTATTTTGGGTTTGGGGGGTTCAATCAGACCTTGCCTTATCATCTCCTGCCTATCTCTTTCTTTAGCAAGTCGTCTTTGTGTCCTAAGTTTCTTCTGCTCTTTCTTTGTTAACTTCAAAGGCTGGGGTGGTGGTGGAGCAGGCTCTGCTGGTGGTTCAACTGGGCGAGGGTGTTCCACATAAATGGTTATCTTTTCTAAGTTCAAGTTATCTTCAGAAGTATCATGATAGGTACCAGATGGTAGGAATGGTTTGTCCCTGATCATAAGTTGCAACTTCAAATAAGAATATTTGTTTAACAAGAAAAGCAAAACTGCAATAAGAATTGGTAACTTACCACCACTCTATTTCAGGAACTTCATCTTTCTTTTTCTCCTTGAAAGTTCTCTCGCCCACCGCAATTAAATTTGGGTTATCATCAGGTTCGGCCTTTGCCTTTGCAAGCTGTGATTGCTTTACTTTCAATTCCTTTGCTTGGGCTTCTCCAAATTGATTCTGTTAGGATGAGCACTACAATTAAGCTTATTAAAACAAAAAAATTTCCAAGTAGGTCAAAAGCAACGGCACAATGCTGACATTACCTTGATTTTCATAACCTCTGCCTGCTTTGACCATCTTCCCTCTTCCACAAACTGAAATGATGCCCTTTTAGGCCTCACCAGCTTTGCTTTATTGATACCTATGCTGGCATCAAAATGCGCGTGCAGCTCCGTATCAGCATCGAGTTCTGGTCTGAGTATCTGAAAAGCCTCTTTCTTCTGCTTATTTATATTGACCTGAAAAAAAACAAAAAAACAAAAAAACAAAAACAAAATATCAAGCTTCTTTCAAAAAAATGCCTGTGAATTATAACGAAAGAAATGGCTTTCTGCATACCTTCAAAGTACTAAGATTTGTCACCTTTGGCTTATTAATAACATTGCCATGCTCATCTACTTCTCTTCCCTGGGCATCTAATCTCAGAACTGGACCTTTGGTAGATTTCGGCATTAGCACAGCATCAGTTACAGATGAACCAGGAAACATATTTATCAGAGGTGCGAAATCAGGATCCTGATGAAATCCCATTTTTGCAGCAAGCTCTTGTGCACGCTTCACTGCCTCATAACTAGCTGCAGTTGCCAGGACAGGTATGGTACCGTCACCACCTGCAATTGATGAGTTCTCCGATGGTGCAGACCCAACAGCTATTTTTGGAGCAGATGGCATCATCGGAATAGGAGTTGAAGCAGAAAGAGATGAAGAAATAGAAGCACCATGTCTACTACCTGCATCCAAAGGCTTCCAAGATTCTTTGTGCAAACTATCAATGGAACCTGCACCGGGCTGTTTATTTAGCTGTAAAGCAATACTGCATGAAGATTAGGCATCCCAAAAGTTTACAAAGATACTAAATTATTTAAGTACAGTACAAGTCATAATTACCACAGGAATTTTCCTTAGCTTCTCTGCCAATTCCTTCTGCATTTGTAAAGCTTTCTTAGCTTTTGCTAAAGCATCGCGAGAGAAGCTGCCACTTTTGCCAGCAACTGAGGATGTTGTTCCATCTGTACTAGATTTTCCAGTAACCTCATCAGATCTGATAATACTAACTCCCTCATTTTCATTGGTGGCAGTAATTGAAGATACCTTAGTATGTATGGAATGAGAGTTGGACGAAGTCTTGGAAACATTTGGAGCTACAGCAAGTGGTTCCTCAGCAAAAGCCTGCAGGAACAAGAAATGCATAAATAGATTACAAAAAAAAAAAAAAAACAATACAGAGACAGCAATTATATATAGAGAACAGGTACAACTAAACAGCCCACAGTATTGACAGACATCATAAGACAATTTATAATCGAGGCCGAAGCACTTCTGAATGCTTCATCATTTGTAAAATTGTATTCATGCTATCAGACTATGATGCACCGACAAACCTTCATAAAGAGGGCATGGTGTCGGACACGTGTTGGATACAGACACATGCCCGAAACGGTTGGGACAAGTGTCGAACACGGCAGAACCGTTTTCAATTAAAATAATATTTAAATTAAAACGGACACGGGTGTCCTAATATTTGATAATTAAATTTATTTAAATTACCAAAATTTTACATTTTAATATTCAAACTGCTTCTAACATCCCGTATTCACGAGTTAGTGGCGCCCATATGCTCTAGGGTTTTACTTTTCACGGTCCTCCTTCGTCTTATTCCTTTATGCGACCAGGCAAGGCGAGCTGACTGAGCGAGCGACTGTTCGATTGAAGCCACGTTTCCTCATCGTCTTTTGTTAGCAGTTCATTTTCGACTCTTCGTCCATTCTGCGACGAGGCAAGGCCAACCAAGCAAGCAACTGCTCGATTCGAATCCTAGTACATCCGATTGAAGTTGTTCTTTAATCCTTCTCTTCGTTTCTGAGCAAGCATATAACTTGTTCGTCTTCGCCATTTCCACAGGCACCGAGGGCATCAAAGGTTCTAACTCTCATGTCTGCTCTGTGAACGGCAGCAAAGAGACCTATTAGTATAATCTATCGTGAAACTTTTTTCTTAATGCTAATTTCATGTATATACCAATTTTACTATACTATTTTCTTAATGCTAATTTCATCCAAGGTTCCGACTCTTGCTTTACAATTTTACATTACTAATTCCATGCAAATAACTTACATGGCTGTTAGTACAAACTTCTGTGAATAAAATCAGGTCCAATGTTTGGGACTTTTTGGCATGAATTAACGATTTGGTGAAATTAAAATTCTGTAAAACTCAACCCCTTTCATGTCTTATTCAATCATTTGAACATAATTGATATAATGAAATAGATTACTTATGATTTGGATTACCTTATAGGTCTGTTTATGATTTGGTTTACCTTTAATTCTAATGCTCATGTTTTAGTCTGAGGAAAAATGTATATTTAAATGTTGTAGAATTAATTTTTTCATTAGTATTATTAGCTTCTTTTTTTTTTTTCAAGATCCACATGCATCTAAATAAGTTGGAATCATGTAGGCTTCATTATGGGTTCATATTTGGCTTGAAGCTAAGTTTAAGTTCAACATAATAGTTTGCATATAGTTTCCTAATGCTTATGTTTTATATGATTACTGGGAATGCTTGTTCTCAATTGGGTCAAACTTTAAATTGTTTTACAATATATCACCCAATTTGCTAACACTTTATTTCTTCCATTCCATCAGTTTTCTTAAAAATAAAATAAGCTCTAGTGGTGTTGGATCTAGAAGTGGCGAAGGTTCACAGAGCCTTATGTAAAAGCAAATAAGCCCTTATGGAATCATATTACAAAGTTAGGAAAAACATATGAAAGTGGAGAAAATGTGTCATTCAAATGCAATTATTATATTATCACCTACGAATGAGCCTATTCTATGGTGAAAGCATATTTACATAATAGAATTGTTGCCCATGGAATTAAATGTGTCATAAGATTACTACTTCACAGTTGAATAAGTTGCACAGACAAGCTGGTGAAGTTGAAACAAGGATCAAGCTCATTTCCTAAAGAGATACATTTGACCTCAACTCATTCATCCCATATTGCTTCCTCCTTCGTTAGAGTTTATCATCTTGGTGCTAATGTTAATATTGGTTTATTTAGAAGTGAATGATATGAACATAACAGAAGAAAATGTGTTGATATTAGTTCTTTAAAGAAGGCATTTAATATGCAAATACAAGAGAAACGTTATGGTGAAATCACGATGATGTTTTTTCAGTTAGACTTCTTTTCAACCTTGCTAGAAATTCTTATTATAAAAATACATTCACTTTTGCATGCAATAACAATCTACAGGTTATGTTCCACTTGGATACAATGCAATAAGATCAAAATTATTGAAGAATGAGAGAAAAAATATTGAGATATTACTTTACTTGAACCTTCAAAAGGAGTGTGGAAAGAGAAATGTGTTAATTTAGTATGTGATGGTTTGACTGATCATCAAAGAAAACCACTCATCAATTTCATGATTATTACAAAGAATTACCTAATGTTCATCAAAGTTGTGAATTGTGAAGGGCAATCCAAAGATAACCATCTCATTTACAATTTGATTAAATAGGTAATAGTGATGATTGAGCCATCAAATGTTGTTCAAGTTATCACTCATAATGCACAAGCATGTAAAACTACAGGACTACTAATGGATCAAATATATCTTTATATCTTTTGGACTCCATGTATTGTGCATACTTTATATCTTATTTTGAAAAATATTTGTGCAACCAAAAATACTAAGACAAATGAAATCATTTATAATGAATGTCATTGGATAATAGTGATTGCATGTGACGTTGTTTTGCTTAGAAATTTCATCATCAACGACTCTATGAGAATGTCCATCTTTAATGATTTCTCAAATTTGAGAATATTAGCTATGGTTGAAACACGTTTTGCCTCTATTATAGTCATGTTGAGGAGATTCAAACATATAAAAAATGTTCTTCAATCCACAATGATCAGTGAGAAGTGGTCAACAAGATGATATTGGGAATGCATGATACGTAAAAGAGATCCTAAATGATTTATGGCGGGATGATATTGATTATATTTTGGCTTTTACTAGTCCAATTTATGATATGTTGAGAGTGACTGACACAAATAAATCATGCCTACACTTGATTTATGAGATGTGGGACTCTATGTTAGCTAAAGTAAAATAATTTATATATAGACATGAAATAAAAGCACATGATGAAGACCATATAAATCTTCGTTTTCTATCAAGAAATACCTCACTTTATATGGAAAGTGATAACAAGATGTGAGATATTACTGGAGATGGGTTTAAATCCTTTGATGATATGAGAATATTGGAGATTGCAATGATATTCAATGATAATAATATTGAAGACCAAAGACAAACCTCTGGAGCTAATCCTATTATTCCTTTTAATTAGTAGTTAAAGTTTGATGTTGTACTAAATAATTTTTTGCTTATATTTTTGTGATTGTACTAGACATTTTATATTATAAGCTAGACAAGTAATTATGAAATTGATTTATTATTGTTTGACATTTCTAATGTGATGCTATATTAATTTCTATACAATATTTAAATATTGTAATGTTGTGTTCGCATCGTACACATGTCTTATGTTTTATATGATGGCTCTATCATGAGTTCATGTTATCGTGTCCGTGCAGCATAGCTACCAGAGCTAGTTCCACATCGAAGGAGTTGGGGTGTCAAATGAAATCCCTCATTCCCGCATATGGTACCATAGGTAATTCTTCACGGAATGGATTTGTGGATCAAATGAAACCATTTGTAAAACAGGATTCAGTAAAACTCAGTTCTCCAAAATGGTGGTCAAATGAAGATAACACTGCAGTCTAGTTAAATTACAAATTTTAATAAACCAAATAGCCTCAAAGGATTCTAAACTAACCCAGGCATAATGCTGCACTCCCAGATAAATTCACACACAAAAAAGAAGCCAAATCATTTAACAATAAATTGTGATATCATGCCAAGGATTCTTTGATCACTCCTAGCACTTTTGTTAGATAGTTTTTAATCCAGACAAAAAGTTTAACAAATACAGGCTGTCTTATTAGAATATAAGATGTTTTATAAACATATAAAATCGTTGATCCAAATATAGCCTCACCCTTAAAAAAAAAAATATTTTCCTTCTAAAAAAGTATGGCAACAACTTTCTTATAATTGCCACACTGGTAGATCTCTTTGTAGAAAGCTAATCCCAACACAAAAATTTCTGAAAATCACTAAGAAAACTGTAACCAAGCAGAACTATGACAGCGCTTCAAAAATAAAATAATGAAAATGTTATCCTAAGCATAAAATTAATCAGAGCAACTTTTGAAAAGCGCCTTACTCAGCTGCATTTTAATCATCTTTCCCAAAGACAGCTTTTCTAAGTCAAATTCTAAAATAGATAGAGAAAAATTAACCAATTTTTTAATCTTAACAGACTAAATTTTTGCTTGCTGCTTTTACAATCACAAAAAAACCCAAACAAAATATAAGAGTATAGGGGGTCTCCAAAACTAGTCAACGAGCGAAATTGATAGCATGGTAAAGGGCGTCCCCAAAAAATCTCATAAAAATAAGCCAACTTACTGAGTCAAGACCATCTCCTTAACTAGGTTCCTACCCTCTCAGATCTGTCATAGCTGTCATCACTAATTAATAAACTCAATTTCTTCATTTTTACTTTATTACATACTTAACGGTATATACATTCATGTTGTTTGGCAAAAACATTCTTAATGCATCTATACTTCTACTTTCTAACATAAAAATGAACAAACGGCTTAAGCACTTGATAATGGAGACAACTTATTTAACAACACTATTTAACAAAAAAACCAAAATCGCCTTTTAAAAGTAAATATATGGTGCATTGAATACGAAAGAAAAAAATGTAGCAGTCCGTAGCAAATGAGACAAATCTCCAGCAAATAGCTTTGCCAATCATGCAATTGGGTAGATAACAAAGTGAGAGCAGATTTAACTAAAAGCTCATGATGATGATATCACTGATTTACCCACAAAAAATCCATTAAACAAGTTCCACACATGCCACTCCATCAAGCACTTTAAACAATAATAAAGGATTTATCGATTTTTTTATTTCATTTTTTAACTTAATCTTTCGGAGATAATATAGTCATTTTTAATGGTTCAAACATTGTCAGTTCTCTCAAAAGGGCAAACTAAAATAAAACCAAGAACTTGAGGATATAGTTAATATTTTAAATACCATAAAAAAAACAATAAATTTCATAGGATCAAACTGGTAAATAATTGCTCAGCAAGGTCTCGTTTCCCACAGCCTTTCACTGCATCTTCTTCCTCCAAATACTATATGTCCCACTAAAATAAAATCCAGAACTTGAGGATATAGTTAATATTTTAAATACCATCATACAGAACAATAAAAGTCAAAGGATCCAATTAGTAAATAATTGCTCAGCAAGGTCTCTTTTCCCACAGCCTTTCACTGCATCTTCTTCCTCCAAATACTATATGTCCTACTAAATTGTTCCTATCCGCTCACCCCCCATCGCTCTTCATTAGCATCATTCTGTCATCCACCTTGTTACTACACTTCATTTACAATTACTATGATCTGCAATTATACTACATAATACGCATTGGCTTTTCACACTTCTGATAAAGAAACTCGTTTCATTTGTGAAATCAACTTCAGCTATTGTCACAGACTCACAACTAATTTCTGATGCATGTGCATTGGTGTTAATTTAAACATGAAAAAAATAATGCATTCTAAAAGCAAAGCAACAACCTAAGTCGGAGAGGAATCATGATTCCAATCTAAGTGCCACTACCAAATTCTTTTAAATATTTTTCGGAAATCACCTTTTTTTTTGGGAAACATCCTAACATCTAGCACCACTTCAGTTACCATATCCCTGAAGTGAGCAACACATGCTCAGTCCTTATTCTTATCTTCTCTAAGCACAATTCACAGCTTTAGATTTGATTAGAAGACTTGGAGCAAATTATGTACATAACACAATTACACAAGCCATACTATCCACAAAATAACACAAACAATCGCACATAAATAATAATTGATCATATTAAAAACTCACTTTTGCTAGTGAACCGCTCATGGGAGGAAACGCATTGCTTCGGTCACCATTAGCATTAGCCAACTGTCCAGTTTTCGATTCAACCTGGGATTTATCAGATGAAACAGAAGCTTTTGAGAGCACAGACGTTTCCTGCTTCTCCTGCTTAAACTCATCTTTAAATCGCCGATCATTTCTAACAATTTCTTTTGCTTCTTCACCGTCTATCTTCTCTTCCTGCTCAGTATCGTCACGTGACTTTCTTCTATGTCTGCTACTCCCATTCATTTCTTGTTCCTCCTTCCGTATATGCTTCACGTCATCTTCCGTAACCATCATCTCTTCTTTCCTTCTATCCTTAGAAGTCTTTCCCCTCCTAGCCTCCTTGCTATCCTCTGACAACACCCTCACATCCAGATTCCTGTCTTCAACACGCCTCATTGATTTCCTATGCTCTGCATCAGAAACCCTAGCACGCTTGACGTTGTTATTCTCAATTTCATCATCATCACTACCCCTATTATCCTTCCTCTTCCTATGACGCCTCTCAATGGACTCTTCATAAGAAAAACCTTCCCGCTCGACTGATCTCCTAATCTTATTGGACGAACTCTCGTGCTTGCGTTCTCCACCGTTCTCCAAACCCCCCTTGGCAGAGCGGCGATGGCGCCGATCCCCCTCTCGATCACGCTCCACGGAGTCCCTAGCCCTAAGGTCGTCATCGGAGGGAGAATCCCCTCGTGATCTTTTGCGGCGCTCAACAGAATCCCTGAGCCGATCGGGAGAGGGATCGCGCCGACGAATATCGTATTCCTGCGGTGAATCGTCAATCGAGTGGTGCCGTCGTTCGGATTCACCGTAGCGCTCGTGTCTTCGTTCCTCCCCGCTGTGGTGGTGACGATGCTTTTTCCGATCCCTTTCAAACTCCCGGTCGCGAACGGAAGAATCCGCATCCCTATCCCGTTCGCGTTCTTCTCTGGTTTTCCGACTGGATCTGTCCCGCTCGGAAACCCTATCCATGGCTTCCGTCTAGGGTTTTCCTGCGCACTGAAGGATGAGTAGATTACGGGTCACGACTCACACTTTACAACCGGAGCCTGAGCTGAAAGCCGAGCCTTCCGCTATTACGGATTTCCTGTATTTTTGGTTTTTTTTTTTGCTTAGCAAAAGAATAGTAAAACAGCAAAAAAATATTTAATATTTATTAAATAAAAAAAATTTATTACGCTTTGAGAAAAGAGCAGCAAAAAAGTTATAAAAAGTAAAAACTAAAACGTATTAATAATTGAATATTTGTTATTCTTTTATTCTTTTTTATAAAAACACAATAAAAATGAAGCAAATTCAAACGATTCTCTCAATCAGGTGTCCACATAGAATAATTTCTCCTCAATAAGGAGGCTTTACTATTTTGATAGTTATTATGAAAAAACTAAAATTTTTATAATTATTTTGTTTATTATTATTATTATTATATTTGGATATGAGATATTTGATTTTATATGTCTCATAATATTTAAAATTTTAAAATATATATCAGCTATTTTTTTTAATATGTTAAATTTTTTTGAAAAAAATAACATTTTCTCACTTTGAACCACAAATTATTATTATTATCATTATTAATTTGGCCTCAATAAAAATTAGTTTGAACTTTAATATAATTTGAACAAGGTTTGAGCGAGCTTCGATCAAGAAGAAGACTATATTTAAGAAAAAAATCAAGCCATGTTTGGTACATTGTTTTAATAAGATTCATGTATAGTTTGACAAAGTTATTATATTGTTTGAACATGTTAAATAATGCTTGAAAATAGTTCATATAATGTTCAAATATGAATAATATAAGCCGTGCAATCACAATAGATTATGAGGTAGACACAAAATAGTATAATATAATAGCAATAACACATCACAATAAAAAGCATTGCATCACTAAAAAAAATCAATAAATTCAAAATGAAAGCATTACATTCAATCAAAATAGTTATACTATTCATACAATAATAAGATCACTAAAATTACAATATAATAGACAAAAACTTACATATACCTAAATTGCCCCTCCCGTGCCTTCGATGAGGGCTTCAGTATTACCAACGAAGCGAGCCTCTTTCAATGTAATATAGTATTTAGGATAATCATATATCTCTATAAATAATTTGAATCAAGCAAGAGCATGTGCATTTTTTATTTATAATTGTGAGTTCAGACCACCAAGTTAAATTTAAAGTAAAAATCAAATTATTTTCTAAAAACATTGATAATTCGCATCACATTCAAATAATGATAAACACAAAAACTAAGATAAATTTTAATTTGTAAAAAGAGCATTAAGGTCTTAGGAAAGGTCACTTTACTTTGGATAACAATCGTATGATCCTACTTGATGATTTTGATGCACTACATAAGAAGCATCTTGATTTAACTGCTGAACATGCCTCTTTAAAAGCATCTCATGTTGATTTAGAAAATTCGTTTAAAGAATTAAAGTCATATTTAGATGAAGCTGATGATAGGAAGCATGCATTAAAATTTGACTATTTAATTCTTGAGAATGCAAATAAATTTTTATAAGTGAAATTAATTGTTTTTAAAGAGAATAAAAAAAAAAACACCTAGGGCATGATATGAAAGACTAATTACATTCATACTAGATAGAACATTTGTTAAGGTCAGTATAGACATCATGCTATTACTCAAAAAGGTAGGAGAAGAACTACTCATTGTCCAAATATATGTTGATGATATTTTGTTTAGATCATCTGATAAAAACTTATGTGATGAATTTTCTAAAACAATGAGTAAGCAGTTGTTGACCTCATTTTCGAGCATCTTTTTACTCGAGTGTCCTCGATCGACTTGATTGAGCCTCATCGAGCCCAATTTGGATTTGAATCGAGTCAAATTAGTCTCATCAAAGTTTAGTTAAGCTAGATCCATGCCCCTGACCCTTGTCGAGCCCCATTTGAGCCGAAACGACGTCGATTTGAATTCAATTTCATCAAATCAATATAATCAAACCTAATTGAGCCCAAAACAATGCGAATTGGCTCAAATCTGGCTCAATCCAGACTCGATCTAAGCCTAATTGCTTTAATATGATTTCAATTAAAATCCAATTGGCTTTCTAACCAATTTGAATTATCCAACGGCTCCCATTACATTGAAAATTTGATTCTACTGTTGTCGCAGTCTGCAGTCGCAGACTCGCAGTCTGCAGTCGCGTGATACTTTCTATTTTGAGGCTGATTTTTGCTTTTCTTTCGGACATCGAGTTTTGCAGAGTTCTTTTTTCATGTATTGAGGCGAGGAGCGAGAGAGCGAGAGAGCGAGGAAGCCGGATTAATTCCGAGGTTAGTGGATTTCTTCGAAATGGGGCTTTTGCGCATTTTCCTCTCTCTGGATCGCGAGAAGACCGAAGCCCAGTCTTCCTTTTTTCTTCTCTCTGGCATTCGCATCCAAGAGGTTTTTTTTCCATCTCTTTTCTCGTTTGAAGAAGCCCAAGCAAAGGGTTCTCTCTCCCGAGACGAGCAAGATCGAGGCCCCCTCCTCCTCCTGTTTCTACTCTCTCTCCCTTGCGGCAGACCTAGACGAGGCCCTAGCCGGGCTCGTCGCCTCACCTGACGCCGTCCAGCTTCCCGCTAGGCCGAAGCTCTTCGGCCTTCACCTCGCTTGTACGAGCTGAAGCCCGCCGACTTGCCCTAACTGAAGCTTCTACCTCCCTTCTCTCGTTCATTCCGCCTCAGGAAGTCGCATTCCCGGTCCCGACTGCAGCTCCGACAGATCCAAATCGTCCCTTCTCTTCCTCTACGCTAGCTCATCTGGTCCACTTGACCTCCACCGCAACAATCTCCTAACTACAGGTATAAAGCTAAAGCTAATTGTTTGAATAGCATTTTAATAGAACCATGAACTGATTTCCTTGCCCGAAATTTCTGTTTGCTGAAGTTATGCTGCTGTTCATTATGCGTCGGGTTCGTCATCACATAAAGAAATGTGCTCATATATTTCTTCACATGCGTTCTGTGCAGAGTGAAAAAAAAATCTGATGTAAACCACTAAATGTGAGGTGTAATATCATCTTTTAAATCATTTGGTATTTGGTTGTGTCAGGATTTTGCATTATCTAGCATAGGGAATCGCATCTGTGCTAGAGATATTATTGCCATTATAAGACTCATGACCTTTAAACTCATTTCTATTATATTTCTTTTAAATCAATCGTCACCTGCATGTTAAATTTAACAATTTTTATATAAAAAATACGTATTAAGAATTGACATTGAATTGGGGTTTTATGAGGCAAGGTTCGAGAGAGCTCGGTATATGAGCAGAAGTGCATGTTTGCCTTCCCTGTAAAAAAAAAATCTCAAGTGTTTGTTGACTTAAAAAAGAGGTTATCATTGAAGCACGTTGTTTAATCAATTTTATAAGACCTAACTTCTCACCCATTCCCTAATCGGTTCTGACACTTTGAAAAGCCAAACAAGCATCTTTTTAATTGTATGTGAACTGATTATATTTGGATGTCTCGAGCCATACATCAAATGACTACGATTGGATTTCAAATTTGTCATAGATTTTATACACTATTGTGCAAGGTATCCTGATTGCAGATACCTCCTTAAATGTGTAGATTAACTTCAATAGATGGTTATATGGTTCATTGTGATTTCGATCATACTTTTCGTGTATCATCTTTCTATATGTCAAATATCATAAGTATTATGATTGAGTTCATCTGTAGACATTAATCATCATCATCGATTGCATTTGTATGAACTCTTATTCGCCCACTTAAGAATTTGTTTGATAAATCTATGGATTGAATCTCTTTACATACAAGCAAGTGTACACACACACACCATAATATGATTTATGACTTGTTTGTTGGAGGAAATTTATGAACAATTGCATACTTCAATGCATACAAATTAGTTTGGTCAATGGATGAAAGTTGGATTACTAGATTAAAGACTAGAATTGCTTCATTTATTCATTCTTATAATTGTATTCAGTATGGACGCTTGATGAACCTTACTTGAGTTAGAGAATTAAATGCACATTCATGCCTCAAATAGTTGTAAATAATATGTGTTTGGTTTCATGCTTTAGTGCTTCATATGTGAAAATTGAAAGAACATTTCATCCCATGTTAATTATGCAGAGTTGTTGGAGAGTTAATTTATGTGGATTTGAATGGTGATATTATTGTATTCAATGCAAATGTGTACGAGGGTATCAATATGTATTTTATGGTACCGTCATTACACTTTTTCATACTATGGTAAAGTCATTACACTTATTCATACTTATACCAATCTGCATCATGTTTTGCACCATTTGGTGAATTGTTTTCTTTATAGGCTTATTAATGCAAGCATGTGTTGGCCTCATTTTTTTATATCGCATTCTTCTCGAGTGTGTTCAATTAATTTAATTGAGTCTCGTTGAGCCCAATTTGCGTTCAAGGCGACTCGATTCGAGTCAAATTGGACCCAACAAAGTTTGACTAAGCTCGGTCGATACTCGAAACCCTTGTCGAACCCAATTTGAGTTAAATCAATATCAGTTCGGGTCTAATTTCATTAAATTAATACAATTCAATTTAGTTGGGCCCAAATCAATGCTGATTGATCCAAGTTGGGTCTGATTTGAGTTTAGTTTTAGCCCCAATCAATTTATTTTAAGAAGTTTGAACTTTTTGGCGCATGCACCCCCCCCGCCGGGCTTTCTAAAGTGGAGGTTGAAGGAGTTGCGGTCTACGGAGGAGGCCATATGCGGTTTGTGATTTATGATAGAAAAGGTCGAGCATTGAGTGAAGTTGTTGAAGACAGAGAAGAAAGATGAGATGGAGCAATTGGGGCATGCCTTTTTTTTGGCTCGACTATTAAGTTGCAGTCTGCGGAGGAGGCCATATGCAGTTCATGATTTATAATAGAAAAGATTGAGTACCATGCAAAGCTGTCGAAGATTGAGATGGAGCAATTAGGGCATTGCATTTTTTTGGCTCGACTGTTCAATAAAAGAACTTGTCATATATCCAAAAACTTTTGTCTTTTCAAAATTTCTACTGATAAAAAAATAATGTCGTAGATCAA